AGCTTTGGGAAAACAGAAAAGTAACGGTGGCAGGTGGTGTGGCAGTTTCAGTCAGTGATCTCCCAGCCTCCCTGTGTTTTTTCTCTGTGCTTTATTTAGTGGTGTGATAGTTTAACTTAGCTGGCAGCCAGGGAATCGGGGAGAGAATTGAGGGGGGTAAAGGTAAGGAGACTTGTAGGTTGAGATAAGAACAATTTAATAATTAGAGGAAAATAACATTAAAATAGTAAGAATAATAAGAACAATAATGATATCAACTATATATATGTATGGGTGATGCAGAGTACAATTGCTCACCACCCCCTGATAATGATCCCAACAAGGAGCCCTGAAACTGAAATCTCAATCCCGGAAAAGTGAGAGAATCCCCCCCTTTCCGGTCAATCCCAGTTAATACACTAAACATGGCGTAATATGATCTGGAATATCTTATTGGCACATCCAACTGTCAATTCTGGGTTTTACTAACTACTACACCTTTTTCTCCACTTCCCCCTTCCAGTCCTCTCTTCTTGGAAACTGCCCAAGCACAGTCTCCTTGTAGTTGCCAACATTGTTTTCATAACAGTTTCCACTGAAACCAAAAAAACAGTGCTTTCTAGCTACTAAGGAGAAAATTAATGATATCCTAGCAAAAACCAGGACAAGTAGTAACATAGCACTTCTGTCTTCCTGAGACCACAGCATGACAGGAAAAAGATCAGCCTCCGTTTACCCCACACATTCAAATCAGATGATGTTCATGGCGTTATAACGGTGGCAGACAGGATTAAAAGTGTTACAAGCTGTAAGGAATCGTCTTTCCTGTAAGTAACTGTCCCCTTGCAGTGTGATTCCTCTGGGACACTCCTGGCTGTGAAGTCCCCAGGGCTGTTCTTTGAGCCTGACAACTGCAGGAGACCTCCAGCTGGTGGGAACCCCTCCCTGACGTTAGTCAGAGGCTCTCAAGCGAAGTGAACAGTGCTGCTTTGTGAAGTTCAAGAACTCCTTCCCTGCAGTGCTTGCCGTGCAGCACTGCAGCAGGGCCCCAAGCCCAGGATGCAGGGCTCTCAGGCTTGGCTCAGGCTGCAGCGTGCCTGGGGAGTTGTTAGCACAGGCGTGTGTGGGAGAATGCATCAGCGGCTGAAGCGGCTGCAGAGACACGTGAATCTGAAGCTGGGTATCCAAGTAGAGGTGGCAGTGGAGCTAGGGACCAGCTCCTAGCTCTGGGAAGAGCTGTGTCCCCTTGGTTTGGTTGTCAGAGCATCCAGGGGAAGCTTTGTAGGGATGGCTGGGTCCCTTCGGTGGCTGATGTCTGGGAAGGGGAGGACAGTGCTGTGCTGGCTTGTAGTGCACCTTGGCCATGCCACGTCACACAAGTGGGACAGGGTCTCGGTGGGATGGGGGCGGGGAGTGGGGCTGGAGCAAAAGCTCCTCTGTGCCCTCTGGAGAGGGTTTGTGTGGACACCACTGACCCAGCCCGGTGCGTGGGACCCCAGGAGCTTTCACACACACAGCTGGGCTGGTACCTCTCCTCGATGTGCTTCTCTGTGCTAACAGGGGGGAGAGGAGCAGGAGAACTGCACTCTGCAGTTTGAAGGTCATCTGCCAGCTACAGAGGGAGACCAAGCTCTCGGCAAGGCAGGCGTGAGGGTGTGCTGCTCTGAGGTCTGCACAGGCTCTTGCTGGCTGGGAGAGCCGGGGCTGGGCTGGGGGACAGGGACAGGGACAGTGGCAGTGGTGGCAGTGGCAGGCATCCAGGACAGCAGCGCTCATTAATGCTCCAGCTCTGCTTGAAGAACAGAGCACTCTGCTTTGCTTTGGCTTCTTTTCCCTCCTCTAAGGTTTAGCTGAAGGCCTCATGGATAACATGCAAATCAGGGCTCTCATTTGCATACTTTATTCATGAATGATATTATGGTTCCCTTTGGATCCGCACTGTCTCTGTGGGTGCCAGCCAGCCCTTCCTCCAGGAGCAGGTCTCTTGTCTCTGTCCCACGGCCAGGGACAGGCACGTTTGCTCCTGCCACGGCAGCCTGCTGTGCCAAAGGGGATGAGGGGTGACAAACCCGTCCCTGGCTCTGGGAGCACGGTGTCCTCACTCCTCCTCCCCTCTCCCTGCCAGGTTTGTATGTCATCGCCATCGCCGTCGCCTTGGAGGTGTCAGTGGGGAAGACCAACACTGTGATGGCTCTAAATAACTCTGATGTCCTGCTGCCCTGCACCTTCCTCACCTGCATAGGCTTTCAGGACCTGGTCTTCACGTGGTATTTCAACTCGACAGAAATGGTGGGTGCCTCTCTGGGCTTTTCCTCTGTTTCCCCAGCAAGTCCTTTCACACTTTCCCAGTGCAGACCAGCACTGCAGTTCTCATGGGGTTCCCTTTCTCCTCTTGCAGGATGCCCTCCCTCTGAGTGTCTCCAGCTCTGGGGGGACAGGGCTGTGCAAACAGGGTGACTCAAATACCCTGGCACATCTGTGCTTTTGGCACAAAGCTGTTCTGAATTTTGTGCAGCCCAGAGGCTCATTTCTTTTAATAAATTGGTCATAAATTGGCTGCTCAGGTGCAAGGCTGCGCTTTGGGCAAAATACAGTTAATTTTCTCCTCCCGCACTTGCTGTGAAATACTAAAGGTATAGATTTGCTTCCTGCTGGGAATATTCTGCTCTTCAACTCCATAGCAGGAGGGCTGGATCAGAGCAGGTCTGTCCGTGGAGGCTGGCCAGCCCTGCGTGGCCCTAGAGCAAAGGGACTCTGCCCTGGGGTTCTCCTGTCTCGTGCGTGGTCTGTGGCATTGCTGCGGGGCAAGTCACATTGATCACTTGTGTCAGGTCCCTGTCTACAGCCATTCCTGCGTTAATGGGGTGTGCCAGGACGCTTGGCCGTGTGTATCTGTGCGTGCAGAGGTGGGCAAGGCGCCGGCAGGAGAACTGGAGCCTTTCCCTCACCGGGGGTTGTCAGGAGCCCAGCTGACCCCCCCGTGTCCTGCATCCCTGCCTCTGCAGATTTACCATGGGAAGATAAAGAGCAAATCCTCGGAGCCCTACCTTGTGGGACGCAACCCACGGGTCGAGTTTGTTGGCTCAACGACTGGGAAGGACAACAACATCTCCATCGTCCTGAGAAACGTGGAGTTCAGTGATGCTGGGAAATACACCTGCCACGTCAAGAACCCCAAGGAGAAGAACGCGGAGCACAATGCCACCATCTTCCTCACAGTGGTCCAGAAGAGTAAGTGCTGGCCAGGGCTTCCCTGCCCTTTTTTTTCTGGGGCAGTGGGGATGCAGGCCCACGGTGACCCCACCTTGGCTTATGGTTGTGGTGGTGCATGGTGGGGTGTCCTGGCTTCTCGGAGGTAGTTGCCATCCCTGAAGGGCAAGGCTTGGCCTCATGCCCCTCTCTGCTGTGAGCCAGCGGTTGGTGGAGGGGGTCACTGCTTTTTTGGGGGGGCCATGCAGCCAGGAGCTCCCTGCTCCCCTCCTGAGGCCCCTCAGCACCTTCTCTCCTGCAGTGGTGGAGACAGACAACACTGTGACGCTCATCAT